AAGGGAAATAAAAAAGCGTTAAGAAATTGAGTGAACCGGGACACCTGGGTGGCTCAGTTGGTTAAGTGTCCGACTCTTGATTTCAGCTCAGGTCATAATCTTGTGGTTCACGAATTCGAGCCCTGCGTCGGGTTCTGCACTGACTGCGCAGAGCCTCCTTGAGATTCTCCCCACCCCCCCCCCACCCCCCGAAGTGAATAAACTTAAAAAAAAAAAAAAAAATTGAGTGAACCTCCCAGAAACTCCTCCCAGGGAACTCCCAGAAAGTTGAAGAAGGACGCCCAAGGCAAAAGGAGCTTCTTAGGGATGATTTAGGAGTTGGTTGATCTAAGGAGGGAATGGGAAGTCCATGGTGTGGTGGGGGGTTGAAACTACCCTCACTCCAATTAGTATCTGGACATTTTCTTCAACACACAAATCAGTCGCTTCCTTTGTTATCTTAAGCAACAAAAATAATTTTTAATTTTTTAGAATGATTTGTAAATTGTCAAACTTGTCCAATTTCTAGAGACAATAAGTTTATGTTGTGCGCTGAATAATACCGAAATGCACCTGCACTGCCGGTGAAGGAAGAAGTACGTAAAAGCAAGGAAGAGATCGGACTAGCCATGGATACAAAACTTACCTCGGGATACAAACGGAAAACCGACCACACGCCATCACATTTACACAAAAGCAAGCACAAAGAGAACGTGTTTCCCAATCTATCGACTTCCCTTTGTTGACAAACCTGCAGGGCAAGAATGCAGTAGTGTTCACAGTTTACCCAGTCATCAATTGCTCCGAGGCAAAGCTTTGTGCCCAAGAATGCAACATCCTCAGCCCTCACAAGTACTCAGCTTATACAGAAGGGAAGGTAAACATAGGTGCTTCACGAGGGGGTCTGATGCCAAAAATGAATGCAAGTCAGACGGGATTGAAAGGGGTTTAGGATCACGAGGCAGAAACATGTAAAATATTTCATGCAGCCAGCCTTATTTATTGAGAAGTCCTAATTTTATTGCCCATTTAGTAACATGTTTGTTCCACAAACTAATTTCTCATAAAGCAAAGCACAACCTTTTCTTATAAATAGTATAAATTATTTTATTTACAGAAACTTGTTACAAAACAAATAGACTATATATTTCTTCTCTTTTAAATATCCAAAGTAATTTTCTATCCCTTGACATTTGTTCATGTTTCTATACAGCAGCCAACACGAAGTCCAGCTGAGATGCTCTTGATTATGTGTACAAATTATCACACTATTCACACATTTCAACACAGGAGATTGCTTTTATAACCAAGCTCAAAAAAACAGCAAAATGCTTTTCAAGGCCCTACATTCACACTGACAGTATGTAGTGCTCATTTAAATGATCTGAAAATGTAAAATGTTTTGCACAAAATGTAAAAATGATTATTTTCTGTTAAACAATGAAACTTTTCACAATCATTTCCAAAGCCCCCTAACCCTCCCACCCCCCCTTCCCCACCCCGGACATAATGAGACAGTAAGAAATTCCTTGGCAACAGAACTCTCGCAGGAAGACAGCTGCCTTTATAAGTTACATTTTTCAAATTATACATTTTGCAATGTTTTCAGAGGTACTTTGTATTATATTTTTGGAATAGAAAATATTTTAAATATCCTATTTTAAACTCTGTATTTCATGAGTGAATAACAAAACGGATATATCATCTAAGTTGCTGGCTGACAAAACAGATTTGTAACCCTTGCTGCCACCGGGCAATACGTCACCAGTTGAATTACTGTGAACCAAAAGGCCTTAATTTTAAAATACCTTATAAAATTACCAGCATCGGTGGTTTTCAACCCCTCCCCTAAAATTTTAGAAACAATATTTAGGTGGAAAAAGCAAACTCCAAAGGTTTCAACTGAACATTCAAGTCTTTTTAAAGAATCTGTCGAAGCTTAAAACTAGGTTCAGGCACTTTTTCCGTTAGTTTGAAACCACATCACAGACTAACACACATGTGCTCAGAGCGTACACATACACACACACGGGCACGCACGCACGCACACGCACACTCACACACAAAACACTAACGAAAGAAAAGCAGTGTGTCACTTAGTTACATGTAGTCTATCGGGAAATCAGGCAACTAGAGAGAAGCAATGCCCACTTCGTCGGTACGAATCCACTCCCGAGACATGAAAAGGGACAACAAGACTTTCACAGAACAGAGGCATCCCTTAAACTGTAAAGGAGGCAGGTTCTAGAACTATTGGCTTGGCAGTGAACCACTTCAAATTATAAAAAGGTATTTACTTTTATTAATTAATAAATAAATACTAGATGATCTCAATTGTACCAAAACAGGATATCAGAAAAAAAGACCTGTGCAAAAATACATATTTAAATATGTACAATTCATTTTTAACAAAATATGTCTTCTGAAATAGGGATACTTCCATATTTATAATAGAACAAGAAATTCCAAAATAAAGATACAAAAGTAGGTTTTGTAGAATTCTTTGTTCATCATTGCAGCACATTTTTTTTTTTTTTGTAGGTTAAGAAAACTGCAGGAGTTGTCATGAAATTCTATTGGAAAGAATATAAAAATTATCTTGGTTTTAAATTGATACCAAAGTCTGTCTAGAAACAACCCAACCACTGCAAATTTGGTTTTTGCAAGTTAATTTAATTCAAAAAAATACTTGTACTCCCGTGTTTTAAATGGTCTTAATTGTTCATTATAATAAAAAGTAGTTGTAGGAGAAAATAAAATATTTGAACAGTCTAAAATTTAATAGCACTGTTTAGAATAGGTCTGTTTGTGGCAGGCAGAATCCAAAATGGCTAATTTCCTAATCCCGATCATCTGTGTACTACCGGGAGACATAATGAAATTCAATTAAAACCTCAGTCTAAGAAATCAAATGATCAACACTCGCTTATCTAAATATCTACATAATTCTGAATCAACTTGCTATCATGGGTCCTATTCACATCTTTCGGAACAACATGATCTGTCTATAAATTCCATTGCTAAAAGCAACTTTATTTATATCCATCAAGTCCCCTTGGCTCTGAAAATAAATTCTACCCATACCCCATTGCACTTGTCACCCAGGAATCAACTAAAGACGTTCTGATTCCCCCTTACCTCCGTTCTCTCCCTCCACTGGGACGGAACAACCAGACTGATTTCTCCTAACTGCACCAAACTGGCCCATCCACGCGCTCTCCTTAATAAGCTCTCCTATAGTATCATTTTTTAAAAATATTTACTGATTGCATAATAAGTGAACAAGATACTCCTCTCCCCTTCCTTAAAAAAAAAAAATCAATAGTTTACATCAATTTATAGCTAAAGTATCTGCATAAAGTTTTCGTTGTCTTACATAATAAGAGTAATTCTGTAGCAATTCACATTATTAGGCTGGTAACCAAGTATTTATTCATTCTACGTGTTGTTGACTTGAAATTCCCTGAAACTGAAGTTTGTAACTCAAAAACTGTAGGGAAAAAAAGGATGCACTGATTTGCTCTGTCCAGGCTCTGCCCAGAACAATGATCAGAGCCTTGGGAAATTTACCCTGTGGTGTTCGGCAACTTTGTGTGTTCTTCTAAGTACAAGTGCCTGGGTTATTTATTGTTTCAGGAGCTGTGAGAGTGGAATCACCAGTTAAAATGCCCCAGCTCATCCCCCAAATTCAATGATACCTTCTTAAGCAATGACGTTTTAACATATTAAGCTCTGTCTTTTGGGATGGGGTATTCAAAAAAAATAAACGAATAACCACGAAGGTCTCCAAATCTCTCTCAGGAAGATGGCTGGCATTAATCCCCAGAAAGGAGGGTCTGTCGGGGAGACACTATATATGCGTCACAGCATCTGTGCATGGGCACACGTACACATCTGCCTACTCCCCTCCCTGGGTGCCTGCTCCCCACCCACTGGCATCCAAATGAACACGTGGACAGGAAGGGGAGTGCAGATACACACACAATATGGGGAGCACTCGACACAGAAATTTACAGAGTCCCAGGACAGTATCCACAGAGACTGAGGGTAATGCACAGAGTGCCCTGGAAACATTAAGTATATTAATGACTTAGTGAATGACAGTTTCTGCTGCATCCTAATAATTTCACTTTACAAAGGCAATTTTTTAAAAATGGGAGACTGAGCAGGACAGCCAGCCCAATCTACCATACTGTTTAACATGAAAACTTGAAGGATAAAAAATTCCATCTCTTTGGAAATCTTGGAAAAACATTCCCCCCATAGTGATTTCATCCACCACCCCCCCCTTTCCCCAACCAAAATTTGGCTTTCCATTATCAAAACTAGTTTGCATTTGCATTTTCTTTAAAAAAAAATCACATAGAATTGCTTTTGTACCATGAAAAGTAAGCCTCTAAAATGTCGTATACTCGCTTTCTGGGCATCAATGGCTTTAAACCAGTTTGTAAGTTAGAAACTCTTGACAGCTTCTATCCCAAATCACCTGCAAAAGGCTGGGGGAAAACACAGGCTATTTTGTCCTGGTGCCTCGCGCTAACGTCCGTATTCCAATCCTGGAGCGTTGCTGTAAGAACCTAACGACCGAGCCCTTCTGCGAAGGGCTGTGCAGGGGGCAGCTCTGCCCTCCTCCGGAAGGCGTCTCCAGCTGGGGTACCTAACTGCTGGAGAGGGACCCACAGAAGACAGTGTAAGAAAAACACCTGGGACGGGGAGAGGAGGAAGGGAGAAAGTCTACAGTAATGCTTTTGCCAAGACATACTCTCCCCCAGCCAATCTACTCAAAGAGCGGCTCCATGATGTGCTGCAAGTTAAAAAACAAAGCAAAAACTTCTCACAGATTGGTAGCAAGCAGTCCAGACCACTTTAACACTGATAAAAGCAATTTCGGTGGCTGAACTTGATCCAGTGTCCTTTACGAGTACTCACTGCTACTGACATAGCTTCAGGGAAATCCTCGTTACAACAACAGCCCGGCAGATTTCTACCCTCGAGGCCCACAGGAGGTTGGGAAAACAGACTCAAAGGCATCGTGGAGTCCATAGTGCTGAGTGGAGGTGTAACTTGTCGTCAAAAGTGTCCAGATTATTCCTCCCCGTGCCATGTTCAGCTGTCAGGGACGTGCCTTTGGCTTTCAAAGAAGAGGGGGTGGGGAAACAATGAAAAGGTAAGTAAGCAGCTGTACGCGGCACTGCCCCGATGCTCAACACGAATATTCCAAAGGCCACGCGCCACTAAAATCTCCAGATGTCAGGGGCAGTCAGCTATAGAACTGGGCCTGAGCTTTCAAAAGCCTTCATCACCCTTGGGCACAATCATTGTAGAAGACTAAGTTTTAGAAAATCGTCTAGAAGAGATGCAGGCCAGGTTTCTAGCCGAGAGAAAAGGCTCTCATGTTTGCCTTTTGGTTTTATCTACTGATTTCATTTCCTTGAAGGTATTCCAGGTTGTCAGCTGAGAACTGAACAAGGTCACGTGGGCTAGCACACACAGGTGTGCAAACTCATACCCAACGCAGTGCCCTTGCCCGGGGAGCGGGAACTCAGACCCCCCCACTCTCCCACCATAAGCCCTTGGCTGCAGAAGCCGTGAGCACACTAAGGGCTCAGGGGAAGCTGCCAGGCCCCACCTGCCAGGCTTCCCAGTATGTCCCCCCAGCATTCCCTGGCATAGAGGGCTTCAACCAGCTCAGTTACCCATTTTAAAATCAGCTCCACAAGAAACAGAACTGAGGTTCCTACTTTTCTGAGAGGAGTATTCTTTAAAGCATTTTGGAGTCATGGGTACCTTTAAGATTCTGATGGAAGCTATAGGATCCCTTCTGCAGATAAACGAGCACAGACATAAAAATCATGCAACACGTTTCTGGGGTTTTACCGATCCTCCGATCTGTAGTCATGGGCCACCCTAAGCTTTGTGCAGCGTAATAAAAAAGTTTTCCACTACACAGAGGAAATCTTTCTCAAATACAAACTGAAGTTGAAACAAATTTTGATACCCCAAACTCAGCCTGTCCTAGTGGGACAGAGCCCTCACAGATGGTGGACATCAGAGGTGGCAAACCGCTAAGAGCCGTACTTGGGCAGATGTGTGGGCTATACCAGGTTAAAAAACAAAAGAAGTTCGAGCCCCGCGTCAGGCTCTGGGCTGATGGCTCGGAGCCTGGAGCCTGTTTCCGATTCTGTGTCTCCCTCTCTCTCTGCCCCTCCCCCATTCATGCTCTGTCTCTCTCTGTCCCAAAAATAAATAAAAAACGTTGAAAAAAAAATTTTTTTTAAATAAAAAATAAAAAAAAACAAAAAAACAAAAGAAAAGTATTGCATAACTTGTAAAAGTGGTCAAACTTCTCATGCAAGTCCAAATCTGCAGTTTCTTTGAAATCAGTAACCAGTTTCTGGGAGCTTCTGCTCTGTGTGGATGGGGCTCCTATTTCCTCATTTTCCACAGGCACTGCTGTGCCCACCAGTCTCTTCCCCTCCTGTCACCTGTGGGGTACTGAGGCCACAGCGATGTCTATATGAAGACAGACGCACTCAGTAACGTAATGTACTGGGCATCCCAGCAAAACGGAACATCCCTCCTCCAGGTTCACACAGAATCAGGAAACTACACTCAGAAGGGAGTTTTTAAAGGATGGCTATACTACTTCCTGCAGTGTTCGCACTGAATTTTTATGCTCATAAACTATGATGAGTAACTACAAACCAAGAAGTAAAAGCCCATTTTCACATGTCCAGGGACCCCTTGCTCAAAGAGCCAAGCAACATACCAACAACCCCTATAGACTTGAGGCTCATAGAGAAAAATTTAAGCAGTTGCTATTTAAATTCACCGATCATTATGTTCCCTGCACCTTTGGCGCTGGGTATTAATTCACGCAGATATTGGAGGGAAATCTATCACAGAAAGAAGCTTCCCAGTATATTCTGGAGAAGTCCTAACCTGCCATTTGAGTTAAGTTCTGAAGATGAAAAACAAAACAAATCAAAGCAGCCCCCACACTGCAAATCAGGGCTCTGGGGTGATGTTGCTGAAATTCCTGTTCGACAGCAAGGAAAGAAGATCTGCTGATGAGTGAAGAAACGAGAGGAGAGATTGGGACTCAGAGCCAAGGATGCTGGAGGAAGGGGCTCCAGGGGGAAGAGGGTCAGGGGAAAGCAGCAACAGGTAGGAGAGAGTGGGAACAAAGAACGCACGAGAGAAAGTCACAGTTCCGTATGAACCCGACACCCAGGGAGCCACTGCTGTACAAATGGGCCACGTTCATGTCTCTTTTTAAGCTCTGAAATTTGAGATTTTAGTCTTCGTCTCTACCCACACTTACTGTTTTCCTGCCTCCCTGGAAAACTGTGAGGGAACATAAGGACAGAGTCAACCAGAGAATCAAATTCTTTGATGGATGGGAAAATTATTAAAAGGTCTTTAAAATTTAAACCATCCCTTTCTAGACCAGTGTGACTGCAGACCAGCTTTCTCCAGAGGAACAAACTAGAGACGCACTCTCCAGGAAGACATGGCCCGCCTTCCTCCCCAGGCAGTGGCACGGGACGTGCCCCCCAGGGCTGCGCTCACCGGCCGCGGAGGGGACGCTGCCGTCCCGCAGGTTGGGCAGCTTCTGCAGCCCTATCTGCTAAAACACACTGTGTGGTTTCCTTACCCAGGAGCATCTTCCAAGTCATGAGAAATTCTGGCAGATACACTGTTTTACCTTCACATGGCCGCGAACGCTTCCTTTTTGAAAGGAGACCACAAAGCTGGACACGTGTTTACAGGCAAACTAACCAACCCTGCCACGCACGTCCGAGCTGGTGCAAGAGTTCAAGGGAGAGGAAACGGGGGCATCCCCGCGGGGCTCACAGTCCATGTCCTACCTGATGAAGGAGGGAACTGTTCGTCAGTCCTTGTGCCCCTGGGCTGGCGCCCGCGTGTTTCATGTGCACGTTGTTCATGGCTGGCAATTTGGCAATCTTTGTGGGTTTGCTGCTGCCGTTGTTGACGCTGCTTGAGCCGGGCGAGCACTTTCTTTTCTTTCCTATGAGTCTGTCTAGAGGAGTGTGAGAGTGTGAGTAACTGCCGTGGGAGTTGACGGGCAACTCGCTGGACTGGTGAATGAACGGGCCAAGAGAAAGCGTGGAGTCACTGCTGTTCACCATCACACTCATCCTCTTGATGGACTCAGCGGGGCTCCCACCGGGGGGGCCCCTCCCTGACTGGTCGTGCCGGACACTCACCGAGTTCGCTTTAGTAACCACACAGTTGAGGCCGATGCCGTGGGAAGATGTTACCGTTGAGGGGTAGGGAGGCCCAGAGTGTGCCATACAGTTTTTCCTAAAAGACTCCATGGAATGAGAAGAAGAGGAGGAGGAGGAAGAGGAGGAGGAGGAGGAGGAGGAGGAGTGGACTGACAGTGGGGAGCTATTTTTGCGTTTCTTTCCTGAGCCGCCGCTGGTACTGCTACTGGCATTGTGACAGTTAGTGCTGTTACCAGAAGGCTCCTTGGGCCTCAAAGACTTGCTGGATTTCAACTTCTGAGGTTTTCTGGACATAGGGGAGGAGGGGACTGAGGAAAGGCCGGAGGGTGTGGAGGGGGAGGAGGACGAAGAGGACACTTGTCTGGATTGCATACTGCACACAGGATCCATTGCCCCGGAGGCGGCGGGCTGTGCGTTCAGTGTGGTTCCATGAGCTGGTGCCGCTCTGCTGTTTGGGGAGATGCAGGTGGACGAGAGCAGGACTGGGGACGTAGACACAGTGGCCGCTGCCAGATAGCTGACCCCACACTGCGATGTGGGCACAGAGTTTGTCCGGTGAGGAACACGTGTGGAGACAGGTGTTGTGGTGCTGGGCACTGGTGGGATTTTCCTGCAAAAAGAGGGGGCAGTGAGTAATCCTCAGCAGAGCCCTTCACGGAAACGCACGGAGGGGTGACCCTTCATCTCTGGCACTGAGCAGCACACACCCGTCAGAGGATCAACCCGAAACGCATAGCCGATCCTGCCGCTTCTCTGCTTCAAATTTTGCAAGGCCTTGCCGGGGCTCTCAGAACAATGGTGTGGAAAGCCCTGTGTGCCTCACCAACCACCGGTCCCCAGCCTCACACTGCCTCCGAGATTCCACCCAGCAACCCTTCTTACATCGCAACAATAGGCCTGGACGTGAGGCCCTGTCCATCTTCCGCCTACAATACTATGACCCCAACTTCTGCTCAGCTCGTACCTTCGGCCCACCATCACTTTCTTAGGAAATCTGTCCTGACCACCCAGACTCGCTTGGTTTTCCACAGACTCACTCTGCCAGTTCCCAGACTTGGGGGAACTCAAGGCAGCTTCCACATGTAACTGTGGATCACTAACTTCTCTAGAGAGCAGGGCACACCTTATTTAAAACTGTGCCCACAGCGCCTGCAGTACAGAAGGCGCACTAATGTTGAGAGAATTCACGAACAAAGAGGAGAAAGGAAGGGCAGAACAATTTCATAGCAACTGCTAGGTCCTAACTTCAGGCCTGAAGCACATCTCAGGGTTTCCAGCCACAATGATGGCACAGTGTATTTTGTTACTAACGTCCGGGCAAGGGACCAACCTGGGGATTAGAGAGTCATTCAGATGGCAGACCAGGGAGGCCTCTTTCCATTTCTGCTACGATTTTAACATGTGACAGCACCAAAATTTCAAAAACCCCTATGGCAGAACCAACAGCGAGGTAGCAACACAGACAATGGCCTGAATGGAAGGCAAGCGCCAAGACCGGCCCGGTCCTGACTTCATAGGGCAGCAACGGCTGATCCAGTCGCTGCACCAGCTAGGGTTCCGGCTTCTCATCTTCCAAGTTTGAGACTTGCCCTAAACTGTTGCCAAAGTGCTTTCCAGATGCTTTTTAAGGCCTGTAACTATTAATAAAAAGAACTATTTACTGTATTTGTCCCAGCTAGAACCACCCCATTCAGGAGTGTAGCTCTGGCCCTAGAGATCCATGCATCCAGACCGACCACACCCAAGTCCCTGTGGGGTGGGGTCCAGACGAGAGAAGTTTCTCAGTCTCTCTGGGAGATTCCAACAAGAAGCAAAGACCGAGAAGCTGGGCTCTATCCCCATACTACTCACAGAGGACAACCACGGACAGTACCTGAAAGGCTTATGAGAAACGATGAGTCCCTGCACCCCACCCAGACCTACTTCATCAGAATCTGGATCTCAACAAGATCCCCAGGCAATCCGTGGGCACTGGCACCTCTGAGAAGCCCTGCTCTAAATGGAGGCGTGTAGCACTGCTCGGGCTCACTGGGCGCACTGGCTTCGCGCGGCCACCAGGTGGCTTAGGGAAACGAAGCCTAAATTATCAGGCAGCTGGAACCAAATCCTGGGAAAAGGAAAAGCTTCCATACAGGGAGACATGTGGATCTCTCTGCACAACATATTGGTCCCTGGTAAAAAAAGCTCTTTTAAGTCATTCGTTACCTTTTGCGTAAGGATGAGACAAATAAAGAATATGTAGTTGTACTGATCTACGTCCATACAAATCAACTCTGCAAAGATATACAAGCAATTAATAAAAATGCTTCTGTCTGGGGGTAGTGGTGGCGGGAAGGGTGGGCAAAACGAATGTGGGGACCCGGGGGACTAAAACCTTGAACTGTATACCTCTTCATATTCATTTTTTTTTTTTACCCAAGTGAATTTATTACCAATCTGACAAATTCTGTAACCTCGACACTGCCCCCTATTCCACGCCCCACCAAAGAAAAACCTTTTGCTGATGATCCCATCCCTTCCTTAAGGAATGTGGAATCATGCTCCCCAAAAGTGGACAAGCACTTGACAGAAATCACAGAGTTTGGAACTGGCCTTTGCGGTCCTGGGCATGCTCCAGAGGAAATGCTAGCCCAATTTGACCAGTGTCCAGATTCCTATATTGAAGATGACTTATTTCACTGTCATACTCAAATCCCACTTCCACATATCCTTAGCTGCAATAGGTAACTGAGGAGTAAGGAACTAAGGAGGGTGGCACCCAAACCGGGGGTCCTCCTGGAAGAGAGGACTTTTGGCTGAGCCAGCAGGATGGAACTTGGACCACTTTGGGAGTTCTGTTGAGTGCATCAAAGATGCCACCTGAGGACTGTTCTCCTGCAGTTGAGAAGTGCTCAGCTCCTCCCACCAAATCTCAGGGGCTGCCCGAGAAGCTTGCCTGCAGTGGCCAGCCTCACTCGCAGCACCTCACTCCAAGCTACCGTCTGCCCCAGGCCTGTGCGCCAGCTCATCACTGAGCAAAACATCTGTCTCTGCTGTACTGGCCTTTTTTTAAAACCCAAGTTCATGTTAGCGGAAAGGCACGATTTCCTCTTTGCTAGGAACAAGTGATTGATAAGGTCGTCGGCCTCTGACAGAACAAAGAGAGAGACGGTAGAGGCAACCTCATGATCTTGTGTCTTCCCAGGTTCACCGCAGAAAAAGGACAACACCCCCCCCCCAAGCCACTAGGAACTGACACCATATGCACCCCAACTACTGGCCACGAACCACTTCTCAGGATAATGGGAAAAAGTCATTCTGAGGACACTTCTCAACTCTTAGGAATTCACTAAATCCACATTTCAGGGTGCTCAATGAGCTCCCCAAGTCCTGGTGGGCAGTCTCAAGAAATATGAAGCTGAGATTTCACGTATTTGGGGGTTTTCTGATGCTGACAGACCCCTAGAATCCCAACAAACCAGTGCCCCGTTTTTCCTGAGCAAGGGCAATGTTCCTTCATAAAGAAGAAAGAGGAGCCTCTTATCTAGTAAAACCCAGGAAGAAATGTGAAATTGAAAAGTAGAGCACCACTGCTCTGGGTCTGATTTTCTAAGTGAATAAACTCAAGTCCTGTTCATGATCACGGAGGCGGTTCTTCAGATTGCAGACTATCCGAGGCCTCTGACCAGCTTCCTTTGACTTTATCAGGAAACCAAGGCAGCAAGGCAAGTGGATGTACTGGCAGAGTCTGTTCAGGGAGGCTCTAGTAAATGATGCCCAAATGGAGAATATGGAATGACATGTGAATTAGTGGACAGCCCCCTTGGTTTAACAAAACTCAGTATTTCCAAAAATAGGTTCCACCAAACGTTAAGTTCCCAAAGATACTCCCCTAAAAGACGTTCCCAGGTCAAAAGAGCTTGGGAGATGTTCCACATTATAAATAATATCTCCTGCTTTGAGAGGTATAATGAACAGTGTGCCCCTTAAAGACTCTGAGAAGTCCTGCGGTAATGAAAACTATGTCACTTGAGAAAAAGCTGAGCCTTCTGGCCATGGAACTCTTCTTCCACTTAAAATCCCATGTAGGAAATACCAGCCCACATACGGACACACAAGATGACCATCTTACACTGTAAATCAGAGCACATGGCTCCACTTCCTGAGGCCCTCAGCAGCTCCCCACTGTACTCAGAATCAATTTCAGAGTCATCTGGCCCCTGCCAGCTTCTTAGGTCTCATCTTGCACCATGATCGCTTTCTCGCTTTTTTCAGACAAGTATGATCTTTTCTGACTCCAGACCTTTGCACACATGGTTCTTTCTGCCTGCCCCACCATCCCCTGGCTGCCTTTTCTATCCTTCTCTCCATCTCTGCTCTAGGATCACCTCTTCAGCGAGGTTTGCCCTGAATCTCTCCAGCTTGTTGTTTTTCCATCTTAGGTCTTTGTTTGCAACCAAACTGCCTGTGGGTCTAAACCCTGGCCCTACCACCAACTTGCTGTGTGACTTCTCAGTTTCAGTATCTGTAAAGTAGGGATAATCGAGGTCACCAGAGGCAGCGCCTTGTGAAAATTAAATGCAAGTTGCCTGGCACACAGTAAGGTCTCAGTAAGTCTCAGTGATTGTTAGAGCTTCCATGATCTCCCTGATGACGAGCTATAACCCCTACTGATTCGCTGTTTGGTGGTTTTTGTGCCCCCCTCCCCCGAATGCAAACCCCACACAGGTGGAAACTCCCTCACTGCCTGGAACCCCAGCATCCAGAGCAATACATATTTGCTGAAAAGACTGAATGAATAAATGATGAGGGGCCTTCTCAGGGATAGTCAAAGGCCACGTTTTCATTTTAGATAAGCTTATCTTCATTAGACCAGTCCCTTAAGACATAAAGAGGATGCGGCCCCAGGTGAGGTCAGCCCCCTTTCCCCGCCCCAGAGGCGCTGGGACAGGCACTCACTTCCACAGCTGCGCGTTCAGATGCTTCTCCACCATGAGGTTGAGGGCGCAGCGAAGCCGGTTCCACCTGGAGTCAAACACGTAATAGCCTCTTCCAATCTGCCGGCTCCCGAATGTGCAAAACTGCAAGAGAGGACATACCATGCGTGCTCGCTAATCCCGACAGCAGCACGGCCTGTCTGTGATCTCTCTCCTTCAGGAGAGAAGCCAACCACAGAAGAACTCGCACGCTGTGTATCACAGGCTGTGAAGCACGAGAGTGACGATGCCCAGCTCTGAGTTCCACAGAAGAGAAAGGCAAAAGCCGGAGGTGTCCCAGGACTGAGTGCGTGCCGCCTCTGGGGCACCCTGTTCTGAGCTGCTCTCGCACCCTGACCACGTCTCACACACACACGCACGCATGCCAAGATCCCTGGCAACCACCCCACCCCCCGCCCTCAGTGCCCTGTCTCCGCTGTGTGGGGAGGGTCAACTCGGGGGGGCATGTGGAACTTACAGATGCTGGCTGAGGATGATGACCTGAATAATGACAGTCCAGTTTTTCAACAGACTCTTCTTTGTCATCGCCTTCTCCCTCCTCACTGGATAACCGAGAAGCTGGCTCAGTGGCAGACAGGGGAGGGTGTGGAGATTCATGGACTGGAGGAGGGTCAATGGGGGCACTCCCACCTTGCTGTGCAGGGCAGCCTGGAGGCCTTGGTGAGTAGAAAGTGCAGCACCGATCAGATCACACGTCCAGCAACCAGCCGCCTCAACCCAGATATAACAACGTGCCCAAGACCGCCTAGGGAGGCCTGGGGTCCCCCACTAGCACTGGGGCAACAGATGTTGATCAGGTGGCGTGGGAGTGAAGAATCCACTCTCCCGAACCGCATGGTGTCACATGAAGTTGTATGCCAGATCTACCCAAAGGAACTTATAAAGGGTTCTCCCTTCTACAGCCACCTGGGTGGCTCAGGGCCTCTTGTATTCTCCCCAAAGAAGGGGAAATAGAAGTAGAATTTAAGAGAATTCTTTCTCTGATTCCTCCTCAAATTTCACCTGGATGAGGGTTACGGAGGCAATAAACTCGATAGCTGGCAATGTGCTCCGCACCCGAGAGGGACAGGAGGCGCTCAGAGGAGGACGCAGCATCACTGCTTTACGTGGACCATCTACGGCCTACCGCCAAGAGCGGCACGGAGTGCTTCCTACATGGATACATGCCTGCTGATTCTAGAATTAGGCTGACTTTTGCATCGACGGAAAAATTTCAACGAGAAGATGGCCGAAGGAAGGCTGTGCCAAGGAACTGACATCCCGGGCTCGGCCACATTCTCGGGAGCCACCTCCGAGGGTGCCCCCCCGGGCTGCTCACACCCGGGGCTCACATCGGGGCAGGCCCGCGAGCGGGGAGGTTAGGCACAGCAACCAAGAGTTGGCACGTTCCTAGGCCGAAGTTCTTGCTGCCAGTGGCCGACAGTGAAGGCCCTCATTCTTGACACCTTTCTCTTCCCTTTCTCTCTGGAAATTTGGTACAGGGTCCGTGACTTTAACTTCGTTAAATACACAAGCGCAAATGCACATGTACCACCTTCACTGTCCCTGAGGTATGTAGGGAAGTTCTCATAAGACATTCTGGTCCACTACTTACTAAACAGCTAAAATGCCTAATATGTGCTTAGGCCAAGGTCCCAAATGAATAAATGAAAACATAGGTTGATAAAGGGATGCTATAAAAACTCAGGCTGAATGCCTATCCCCAGCAAGGCCTCCCACTGCCGTATTTTTGCAACAAGTGAGACAAATGAATGGGAAACTGCTGCCAAAGCCATGTGAAATATTCCAGTCACTAACCTGCGGTCAGCACCCGCTTTTGGGCCCTGCTCAGGGGGGTTAAGAATAGACACCTGACACTGATCACTCTTGCTTCGTGCTGCTTGCATTTGGCCCAGAAGAGCCCTGGTTGGAAGTTACTGATGAACTCGACAATTTTTTTCCCTCAAAACCCAATTAGAAAAATCTCTCATCTTCTTAGAGTGAGCCTGATGTACACTCCTCGATCTCATAACTGCACTGGGGGTTCACAGTGTCTGCCAGTCTGTTCTTTAAAGGAAGGATAGAGCTGGAGGGTTTGACTTACCTTGGAAGACTGGGGGTGTGAGGTTTAGGTTTACTAGCTACGAAAGGCTTTGATTCAGAAGGAATCACTCCGTGAGAGTTTTGGTGTGGCTCCTGTGGAGGTCTAGGAGGGGCGGGATGCGGGTCCCTGAGAGGCTGCGTTGGTTGCTGACAGTCCGGATGGCGAATCGATTCCTTTTCCCTGGTTTTGTTTTTGTGCTCGGCTAATAACACATCAAATCGTTTTCTTCTACCCTGGACAGCCCTCCGCTGAGTTAAGGAATGTGTCTATAGACCAAAAAAATAGAAACACTGAGGAATCTCAGTAATAATTTTTTCTCTATCATATATCCAAAAACACCATTCCCAATTAAAAACAACAACAACAACAACAAAAAAACAAAACAAGAAATCTGGACCAACAGCATAAATGCTGTTCACCATCTGGTAAGCTAAAAATCATAGGACGGTGACCTTTTTTCTTTAGCTAGAGTAGAAGCACATATTTGGTGAGGCTATTTCCACAGAAGAAAAAAGGAATGTTAGTTGTGCCACCGGGTATATAAGTGAATGGCAAACAGTAGAAACGAACAGGTGACATTGCCATTGTAACAGTTTACTTATTGGGGCTCTTACCAGCTCAAATAGAAAAATCCTTTTCTGGGCCATTTACATTTTAAATATTAAAAGGGAAGAAATGCTTATGCCCTAAAAAAATGTACTGGCTCAGTCAGTAGAGCATGTGACTCTTGATCGTGGAGTTGTGAGTTCAAGCCCC